GTGCTCTCGTAACCGCCTCTGAATAACTCTTTAACCCCAAAAGCGTCACCCATAGCCTAATGGAATGATTTAGGCTGTACGCAAACCGCCATGTCTTCTCCTCCTCGTTCCCTAGCACATCTGTAGCAAAACATGAAAGAGAAGTGAACTTGTTCTCATACTCTGTCACCGACATGTCACCTTGTTTAAGCCCGTCAAATTGCATCCTCAATTCCTGTCTCTTAGTCTGCTGGAAATACTTATCAAAGAAAAGATTTTTGAAAGTATCCCAACTCATACTGTCGATATTGTGCGTGCTAGTCACGGTCTTCCACCATACTTCCGCGTTGCCAACAAACTTATACATGGCTAATGTGACCGTCAATCGATCATCGGGTACAACAATTGCCCTGAAATGCTTTTCAACTTGTTTTAACCACTCATCCGCAACTAGCGGGTCTGGACCTCCCTCAAATGCTACTTTCAGGAGTTTGTCAAATTGAATAAGGTACCGAAGATTCCGCTCCATCTCTGTCTCCTGTGGCTAAATAGCCGGTTGTGGTACCACTTGAGAAGCTGTGGTACTCACTAAATTCTGAAAAGCTGAGGCTACAGTCCTTGCTAATAGAACATTATCCACCGGTACTTGTGGATTATCACCCACGTCTCTATCTCGACCCTGTCCCAATGAAACTCTATCTGGTTGGGATGGCCCTTCACCCACTAGCTCTCCAACTCCATTTGGATCCATCTCTTCACGTAGTCCTCAAGCGCGGTACTACAAAAGCAGCTATACAATCAAAACAAGAATACATCCACGAGCTATGATACTCACACTATCCGTTTGATAGGAACTAGAACATTTATAAACATAGGAATGATCAAATTCCTCACATATGTGGGTTAGAACCCTCCGTAACCCAACACACAGCACTGCTACGAACGTTCAAACCCGTCAACAACGAAACAAGCTAGTCATACAAACATCCACTCCCTAGTGGATGAACGACCACAATGTAAACCTAAATGTGCAACTATGTCCCAAAACAGGATCATATCTATAATGCTCAAATAGACGCCGTCACATTATATAGTACATGCTTTCATAGATAGTATACACTTAACAAGTAAACATGTAACAAATCAAGCACGTTTTAGACCTTTTCTAACTTTGTCTCCTACCATAATGTTTCATCCTCTTTATCTTGTTTTTTTATCAAAAATGTCTGCTACTTTTGTTCGCAAGACTTTGTAGGATGCTCTTTGTAATTCGGATTGGCGCAAAGCCATGGTAGATGAAATGGATGCCCTGCACCGTAATCGGACTTGGGATCTTGTTCCCTTACCTTCAGGCTCCAAAACGGTTGGTTGTAAGTTAGTCTATACTATTAAATACCTTCACGATGGGTCTATTGAGCGGTTAAAGGCTCGTCTGGTGGCAAAAGGGTACACTCAGACTTATGGCATTGACTATGATGAGACCTTTTCTCTTGTTGCTAAGATTTCTTCTATTTGGGTACTTATTTCCATTGCTACCAATTGTCACTGGCCGTTGTTTCAATTGGATGTCAAGAATGCCTTCTTGCATGGTGACTTAGTTGAAGAAGTTTATATGGAGCAACCACCTGGGTTTGTTGCTCAGGGGGAGTACCGTCACACTGCTTGTCGCCTTAAAAAGCCCTGTATGGATTGAAACAATCTCCATGGGCTTGGTTTGGAAAATTCTCTAAGGCGGCATTAGAATTTGGTCTTAACAGATGCCAAACTGATCATTCAGTATTTCACCAGTGCACTAAAGCTGGCTTCATTTTTCTTATGGTGTATGTATATGATATTGTGATCACGGGTGATGATTCTGAAGGCATTGCTAAGTTGAAGTTGTTTCTGCAAAATCAATTCCATACTAAAGACTTGGGTAAACTTAGGTATTTCTTGGGTATTGAAGTTGCTAGATTCAGGAAGGGTACAAGTTTATCTCAACTCAAATATGTGTTGGACTTATTAGAAGAAACATGTATGTTGGCTGGTTGTCCAGTTGATGCTCCTATGGATTCAATTACAAAACTTGTGTCTGATGAGGGTGATCTATTTAATGACCCGGGCAGATTTCGTTGCCTTGTTGGGTAATTAATTTATCTCACTATCACTCAACTTGATATTTCATATGCAGTTAGTGTTGTAAGTCAGTTCATGGGAGCTCCTAGAATGCCACATTGGGTTGCTGTTCTTCGGATTATTCGATATCTCAAGCAAGCTCCAGGTTTTGGGTTACTATATAAATCAAATGGTCATCTCAGGGTGGAAGGTTTTTCAGATGCTGACTGGGCTGGTTCTCCTTCTGACAGGAGATCTACTACAGGCTACTGCACATTTGTAGGAGGAAATCTTGTTACATGGAAAAGTAAAAAGCAAACGGTGGTAGCTCGATCTAGTGTTGAAGCTGAGTACAGGGTAATGGCCCATACCACTAGTGAGTTGACTTGGATACAACATTTTCTAAAAGAACTTGGGTTGACAGTTGAAACTCCTACTCCATTGTTCTGTGGTAATCAAGCAGCTGTTCACATTGCATCAAATCCTGTGTTTCATGAGAGGACCAAACATATTGAAGTAGATTGTCTCTTCATTCGGGGGAAAATATTAAGTGGGAGCATCTCTACTCCATTTGTGAAGTCTGAAGATCAAAATTAGCTGATATGTTTACCAAAGCATTGTGTCATAATCAGTTAAGGACTATCTGTTCCAAGCTTGGATTATTTGATATATACTCTCCAGCTTGAGGGGTAGTGTTAGAATATTTTGGGTCATTATGTAATTACATATAGTTGGTAGGGTCATTGTGTAATTAGCTTAGTCTTGTATCTTTATATAAGCCACTGTTGGCTTAGGGTTTTGTATGTATGAAATACACATTGTGTAGCCACCATGTTCTCTCTCTCTCTCTCCCTCTCTCTCTCATTAGTTTGAACAGCCATAAAGAGATTAATTCACATTTATAGCATGTTTCAAACATTAAAATATTATCTAGTATGTATATAGCCAAAAACATCAAAACTACATATAGGAAAAATATCGGATCCATCACATAGCCCATTTAATAGCATGTCTTTGCAATTCATTCACAAAACTAACATATAATCACATCAATTCATCAATTAGACAAAACCCATGCATAAGCCAAAGCCTTAGAGTCAAATCATTCAATTTAAACATCAAATTGATATGCTAAAAGGGGGCAAAAACATACAATTAACTACCAAATTCAAGGAATTTGACAATTAGACAACTACCTCTTTAGATGCTAAAAGCCCTAATTTCGAAATTCATCAAAGCCATCTAAATCCAACTTTGCTCCTATCAAATCGAAGCTCTCGACGGCTCTCTGACTTTGCCTTCTACGGCTTGAACAATTTCCAAGTGGATAGAGAGAGATCTAAGCTTAAAGCTTTGAAAGAAAAGAAAAAGAAAAAGAAAGTGTTGCAGAGAAAGAGAGAATTGGCACAGGAAAAAAGGGAGGAGGAAAATGGTCAGGTAATGACCTTGTGGTCATTACAATGACCAAAACAACTGTAGGCCCCACAGGTCAAAATATTTTCTTTCATCTTTTTTATATATATGTACATACACTTATCACACCACAACCACATGTCTAAATGCATAGTCACATAAATATGCAACAAATAATAATGCATGAAATGCAATGGCCTCGAAAAATAATCCTTATGCACAACAAATCCGGTCACGGGTCCTACCCGGGACCTCCCGACCCGAAAAACAGAAAAATGTTGAAATGGCCAACAATGTATTTCTAAGAGTATTGACTCAGAGAAATGCTCTAACTAACTCTCGGAACTCAGCCTGTAACCTCAAGGTGTCTGACACGCAAAACGGGGCGAAAAGAAAATAATCCCGAAAAATCAAAAAATCCTTGAAAATGAAAAATAGTAAAAATGGGAAATATTACAGAAATGGTCTGCGGAGACATTGTTGGTTGTTTACGGTCTGAGGAGATGATTGGTTGTTTATAGTCTGAGGAGACATTTTTTTTATTTGTTGATCGGCACTTCATTTGAGAGAAAATCATCGCTAGTTAGATTTGTACTCCATTTGTTACAAGCTCTCAACAGTTTGCAAACATTCTTACAACGTCAGCAAGATTATGTTTGAGAATGCATTATCCAAGTTGGGCATTTCAGATATCCACGCACCAACTTGAGGGGGAGTGTTAGCAGATATGATAGCCACGATTTATGAAATGACTTAATGTATTAGCAAAGATTTGATTATGCTATAGAATATGTTGTGATTTGATTTAGTTTCTTTTCTTGTAATATGAGCATGTGCTCTCTTTTTATCTACTAAAGCTGTGAATTAGTGATTTATCTCATTCAAGCCTTTACATATTATATATCTCATTCAAGCCCTTACACAATTCTGAAATAGATCCTGCATAATCAAGTTGCCACCAATAGTAGTATAGTAGCTAGAAGTTGGCCTCCTATCTGAAATTGATTCTGCATAATCAGCATCTGTCTAGGTCTCAACCTGTAAGTGACCATGATTTGCAAACAAAATACTGTGGCCTGGACATCCCTTTAGGTAGTGAAGGATCCCAATAGCTGCATCAAGGTGAGGGGTGCATGAATTAGGGATGACAATTTCTCCCGACCCAGCGGATTTCAACCCCCTCCCAATGGAAAGGATATGGGAAGCCATTTTACCTCGTGGGGGCTGGTATGGAGTTCTAAAACAAAACCCGAGTCTGGTCGGGTCAGTATCAGGTAGAATACCACCCCACCCTGATTACATAATACCCTTAACCATCCTTTTGTTCTCCATATATATATCATATAAGATATTTAAATATTAAACGTAGATTAAAGTACGAGACCCATATTATATAATAAGATATTTAGTATTTCATCCCTGTTGTTTCTGTCATCTTGGTTCCTTGTATTATGTAAATCCAAGAATGGCATACTGATATTTGCATGTAATCTACTGTTTGCTTTACTTTATAGGTGGTGGAGAACTGTACACATGGGGCTCAAATGAGAATGGCTGTCTTGGTATCGGGTATCTTCCTTGTAAACACTTCATCTCAAAAGGCACAGCTTGCAGAATTTTAATTTTAAGCTGTTTAGTTACGATGTGTGCTCATAAGAATTTGATATGTTCATTCATGATCAATTTTTCAGCTGTACATATGTTACTCATTTTCCTGAAAGAGTTGAAGGTCCATTCTTGAAACATCCTGTTTGCAAGGTGTGTAACACTCTTCGTTCCATATGTTTCTTGTGGACAGTTAATAAATATGATCCTATGGAACGCCTGTAGGAGTGTTTTTGAAGTGATTACTTTTTCTGCTTCCTAAAACACTCTTTACTGTAATAGAATGTCATAAAACAGACAGAGATCATAAAAGCTGTAAATATGCCATTGAGTAGAGATAGAGACCCTGACCCAAATTGTCCAGTCATTTACTGCTTGTATTGCTTTGATAGGTATCTTGTGGTTGGAAGCATACATCAGCAATTTCTGGTAAGAATGTTTTCAGACCAAACCCACTTAGATGTTATTGTTATTTTCTATATTGTATTTCCTCATTTTCTCGACATAGAATTAACTTTTCGGATCTTCAAGAGTAGTTATTGGATATTATATTGGAGCTATGTTTTCGAAGGCATATGAGGGTAATCTTTTGGGCTTGTGACTTTGTTTTGTTTACCCTATATTACTTCTTTAAATCTGCATGTTATTAATTTAAATCTTCCATCATTTTTTATCCCCGATTGATTTACTTTATATTTTAAAAGAGTATTATAAATTAAATCTCGAGTGTTTTTCTTTCTTTCTTTCTTTTTTGTAAGTTTATGTTTACAGCATTGGCTTGAGGTTAGAGATAATTTGTTTGGGATATATATTTTTGTATCCCCTCCTTAAAAATAATAAAATAAAATATATAGGAAAATATAACATTTTTTAAAAGATCCCTCTAGATTTCCTTTGTTATAGGATATGATAAAATTTAGCAATTGTGAACTTTCTGAAAAGAAAAAGAATGAAATTCACCTGATTTTCTCTCATATAAACATAAACTGAAAGATTGAAGTTTATTCTAGTTCTCATGGCACCACTCACATAGGGTTCCTAAATAGTTCCAGGAGAAAAAAGGTGTCTGTAAAAAGCTTAAGAGCTATATTTGATGAAATATATAAACCAGAACCTTAGAAGTTTAAAATAAATAATACAAGTCTTTTGCTTCTTTCAAAGGAGTGAAAACCATGACCTTAGTTATTTGACAAAGAAAAGAGCTTATAATTCTGATATTTTTAGAGCATCGTACACTTTACTTATACGAGGGTTTCTTGTGTTGGTGATTTTATTGTACAAAGCCATATCAAGTTGTACTTTTGTTTTCTCTAGTCTTGTTCAAGAAGAGCTTCAAAGAACATGATGATCATCAAGAAAAGTTGAACTCACAAACAATTAGTGGACACAATGAAATGCATGTGAGCTATGAAGCACATATACTTTTACAAGGAGGTTGTACCCATATCGTTTCCATGTTGGATTGTGACACTCTTTGGATACCTGCAGATACATATATGATACTTCCTAAACATATCCATAATTTATTTATTTTTTTGATCACGCATTTGATACTTCTCAAATACTTATTGCCACGTATCCGATACTTTTCAAATACTTTTGAACACATATTTAACAATCTCGAACATTATAATGTGATGCAAAGCAAGTGGTAGACGACTATTTTCAAATAGTTGAACATCCTAAGAAGACGTGTCTGAGTTTCCATTAGTAGGAGCAGCTGATAATGTCATCAGATTTCGTGATTGTTTTTTGGGTCATGAGTCAGTTATAAGTGTCAAATCTGTCTTTATTTAATGTGTAAGATATTATTATCATTTTGGTTTTATTTTATAAGTCATGTACCTTTTAAGTGAGTCATGTGATCACTTAAGGATTGTTTTGTCATTTAAGCATCTTTATTTTTCCGGACAGAATTTTATCTGTTAGATTATATTTATATGAAGTACTAGGATTAATCCTTGCTAGGGCATCCCTCGTCTCTTATTAAAAGGTTGTTTGAAGTTGTATTAATAGGCGATTTCAAGATCGAAAAGAATCTGTATATTGCCGTACAAAGAATGGTTTACAATGCTTTAGTTAAATAGGAAATACAAGGAGCTAAAAAAAGGAAACTACAGGCTGTAACAGGAAACTACAGGCTGTGACTATAGGCTGTAAATACAAGCTGTACACTAACAGAATTTCCTAATCTTAGTCATTGACTATCTATATTTACACGCCTATCATATCCCCTAAAATCTGGTCTTATTAAAACTGAATATCTCTTTTTCAACACTCCCCCTCAAGCTGGCTTGTAGATTTCTTCCATAGCTAGCTTGCTTCTTAAAACTTCAAACTATCTCTTGTGTAGTCCTTTGGTAAGGATGTCTGCAGCTTGTTCAGTAGTAGAGACATAAGGAATGCAAATCATACTATAGTCAAGCTTTTCCTCTATAAAGTGTTTGTCAACTTCCACGTTTGGTTTTGTCGTGGAGGATTGGATTATGAGCAATTGAAATGGCAGCCTTGTTGTCACAGTAGACTCTCATTAGAGGAGAAACAGTAACCTTCAAATCTTCAAGGAGTCTTTTTAACCACATAGCTTCGCAAATCCCATGGGCGAGTGCTCTGAACTTGGCTTCTGCACTACTCCTCACTACTACATTTTGTTTCTTGCTTCGCCACGTGACTAAGTTTCCTCCAACGCAGGTGCAATATCCTGAGGTAGATCGTCTATCAACTATACTATCAGCCCAATCAGCATCTGTGTACACCTCCACTTGCAAATGACCTTGTTTCTTGAACATAAGTCCTTTACCTGGTGAGCCCTTTAAGTACCTCAAAATCATATACACTGCTTCAAAGTGTTCCTGTCCAAGAGAGTGCATGAACTGACTCACCATACTGTCTGCAAATGCTATATCTTGGCGTGTGTGAGATAAGTAAATTAGTCTTCCCACTAATCTCTGATATCTTTCACGATCAACCATGTTCTCGGGTTCGGCAGCTTCTAACTTCAGGTTGACTTCAATTAGAGTGTCAACAGCTTTACACCCGAGTAGTCCTGTCTCATTAAGCAAATCAAGTACATATTTTTGTTGATTCACAAAAATCCTTCTCTTGACCTGGCAAATTCCATTCCAAGGAAGTATTTTAATGCTCCCAGATCTTTGACTTCAAAATCTTTAGCAAGTTTCTTCTTCAATCTAGTCAACTCTTCAATGTCATCACCTGTCAAAATTATATCATCCACATACACAATTAAAACGGCAATTTTCCCTTCCTTACCGTGTTTGTAGAACATGGTATGGTCTGCTGGACTCTGATGATACCCATAACTCTTCATAGCTTTTCCAAAGCTTTCAGACCACGCTCTTGGAGACTGTTTCAAACCGTACAGGGATTTTTTTGAGTTTACAGACTTTGCTCTGACCGTGTTTTCCTTCGAACGCAGGTGGCAAGCTCATAAACACTTCTTCTTCCAAGTCTCCATGTCTCTTGGTAATCAATGCCGTACGTTTGCGTAAAACCTTTCGCCACAAGTCTTGCCTTGTACCTTTCCACACTACCATCAGCTTTACACTTAATAGTGAAAACCCATTTACACCCAACAGTTTTCTTTCCTTTGGGCAAGTCAATTATCTCCCACGTTCCACTCCTTTTAAGAGCATTCATCTCCTCTAACACTGCTGATTTCCAATTCGGATCATCTAGTGCTTCCTGAATGTTTCTTGGAACAAACAAGTGAGAAATATTTGAAGTAAAGACCCTATGTTTATGGGAAAGTTTATCATAAGACAAGTATTTGGCAATGGGATGCTGGGTGCAGGTTCGGATTCCTTTTCAAACAGCTATAGGGATATCAAGATCTACAAGAACTTGGCTAGGTGACTCTGTACGATCAGAAATAGTAGGGACAACTGCAGGCTAGTTAGGATTTAGAGTACCTTGAGTGTTCAGGGAGTCATTGCTCGGGACCTCTGATTGGCCTTGCTCAGGTACAATAGTAGGCTCTCTACTCTTTTGATGAGTCTTTTTCCTGTTATAAACCAGAAGCTCAGGATTCGGTTTTTTTGGAATCGTTTGGTAGGATTTCTCCCCCTGGTGGAGATACAGTAAGGCTTGGCAGATTAGGACTAGGAGGCCCCGGGTTTCCTGATTCTAGAACATCATTTCCCTGTTTAAAAAGATCAGTGTTCGGAGTCATAGAGTGTGAGACAATAGTTTTAGGTAAGGGAATATCAGTAGAAATCTTCCAAAAATTTTCTTCACCCTCTTTCTCCCCCTGAAGAAAAGTTTTCTGAAAATAAGGATGATTTTCTAGAAAAAAGACATCCATATTGATAAACATTTTTTTTTTTTGTTTTCGGATTGAAGCATTTGTACCCCTTTTTATTCGGGGCATACCCAACAAATACATATTTTTCAGCCCAAGGATCCAATTTAGACCGAAGTCTACTAGGTAAATGGACAAAGACAGTGCACACAAATACTTTCAAAGGCAGGTTGGAATAAATCTGAGTTTCAGGAAAAGATTTTTTAAAGCTTTCAAGGGGTGTAAAATAGTTAAGAACACGAGTAGGTATCCTGTTAATCAAATATGTTGTTAAAACAGCTTCACCCCACAAATACTTAGGAACATTCATTGAAAACATGATGGCATGAGAAACTTCAAGTAAATGTTTATTCTTTCTTTCAGCAATTCTGTTTTGTTGGGGCGTGTCAACACAAGTGGATTGGTGAAAAATTCATTTTTCTTTTAAAAAACTTCCTAAAACTTCATTAAAGTATTCGGTGTCGTTATCAGTATGAAGAATGCCAATTTTTGTTTGAAATTGATTTTCAATCATCATATAAAAATCCTTGAATAATTTTTCAACCTCATATTTTTCATTCATTAAATACACCCAACACAAACGTGTATGATCATCAATAAAAGTCACAAACCATTTTTTTCCAGAAAGAATTGTGATCCTAGAAGGGCCCCAAACATCACTATGGATTAAATAAAATGGTTTTGATGTTTGGTAAGGTTTGGGAGAATACGTAGTACGATGACTCTTTGATAAAAAACAATTCTCACAATAAAAAGATGAACAATCCAATCCTTTAAACAAAGTAGGAAATAATTTTTTAAGATAAGGGAAACTAGGATGCCCTAGTCTAAAATGCCATAGCATTATTTTGCTCTCTAACAGGGATAGAACGAAAATTACTCAGACCTTGAGCCTTTTTATTACTTAATATATCATCTTCAAAATAGTAGAGACCATCTATCATCTTAGCACTGCCAATCGTCTTCCCCAAGCTCTGGTCCAGAAATTCACAATAGGATTTAAAAAAGATAACACGACAATTAGAGTCTTTGGACAATTTACTAACTGATAAAAGGTTATAAGCAAGCTTAGGGACATGAAGGACAGACTTAAGATCAATAATTTTTGAAA